GCTAATGAAATTGATCCCGCCCAGCTGGCGAGATGAAAGCTCAAGTATTGCACTGCGAAATTTCACGGATTTTTTAGCAACAGTTGCTGAGGAACACAAAAATAACCGGTATCTTCATTTTTTTGTTTGGTAAAACGTTTATCCGTTGTGGAGCTTTAATAATTTTTAATTTTCTTCATCAATTTGCCCAAAAACGGGGGTTAGGTGGGAGAGGGGGAGGGGAATTGACTTATGTTATTGATTTTTTTAATAGATCCGAAACTTTAAGCGGTTTTTTCAGCTAACTTTTGACATATTTTCGCTTAAAACATTTAATGATGAGTTGTGATGGTGAATCCTCTAAACAACGCTAATTTCAGGGAGTTTATAAAAGAAGTGAAGAAATTTATTGGAAAATGATAGTTGTTTGTTTCGGTTTCATTTCCCCGTATATGTCTGTGTGTTTTGTATTGATATTATAATTATATAAATGTGTTATGTTTTATTGTTGCTGTATTTGAGACATTCGTAATGATTCGAATTAATATTTTAATGATCAATGAAACGTTTTTTTTTTTTTCGAGAACAGCAAGTGATCAAGGCAACTGCCAAAGGATCTACGTCACGTAGCTATTCAATCCATCCACTCAGCCTCAAATCCTTGCTCCCGGAATCCGTGTATACCTCCCCCCTCACCCTACATCCCACCTGCGGTTTCTAACTTTCAATCGGAGTGGCAAAATCGGTGAAATTGATTTGCTGCACAGGAAATGTGACACGAAAAATTTGAAAAAGGACTAAAATTTGGTCACTAACGGGAGTTGAAGAGCTTTCTTTGACTGTGAAGAAGGGAGCGATTGGAGCAAAGGATGCTTGGCGTGTCTCTTCACGACTATATAAACAATCAGACTTTTCGTCAGATAAGTGTCATGTAACACGTAAGTGGTATGTAGTCACGTGAAAAAGTGAATTCTGTCAGTAAGGGTATGTTGCTAGTCTTATATTAGTTGAAGTTGAGCATAAGCGATTGGAACCTGGGAAAATGTGGATGGTCACTCGAATAGTCTAAATGCATCGATAGCACATATATACATCGAACAAGCAATGTAATCTAGTGGTATATTTTTCTCAAAAGCTTATAGGTCCCCTTAGACGCAATTAATGACCGGCAGAAATTAGAGAAATAAAATATAAGACGAAAAAAACTTATGCAAATGAAACAAAATTTACATGGTATGGACAGAACAAGGCAATTGAATAGAATATTAATACAAACAATAAAAAGTAGTTATTTTTGCATAAATCAATTTAATCGGCTATTTTTGCATAAATCGTCTGAACTAGCTCAAGTACTTGAGATTGTCTGGGCGGTCTTGGTATTCTTGGTAAGCGAAAAAGTGGAGAAAAACCGGCTAAAGGGTTGTTTCGAAGTTAAAAAATCTGATATTTCCTATAAAAGTTGTCCAAGTGTTAATAATTTGGGCATTTCTGGGAACTGTTTGATATCCGAAAGCCATTTTGCGCGTCGTTTTGTACTGCTGTTGAAAAATAATCATCCGTGAAGT